TCATCTCGTGTATTTCGTTTAAACTATGTAATTAGTTTTTTTTTTATTTATATTTAATGTTTCATGCACGTCAAAGATTCGATGTGACAAGAAATATTGAAAAATTTGGTATTTTAGGAGGAGCTTAACAGGGCCTACCGCTCTCTGGTAAAGTAGTAGTACGTACGTACGTAATGGAAAGTTCTGGGTGGTGGGTTGACGTCAAAGGCGCGCGCACAGTAATCTTTCAACAGTCACCATACTGTGTTATTACAGGCTCACAGTACGGCACGTCAGAATTCAGAAACACATGCATGCATTCTGCACCCATTCACCCTTTGCAACTGAGGCTGTGTTTAGTTGTAGAAATTTGGATTTTGGGTTACTGTAGCACGTTCGTTTTTATTTGGCAAATAGTGTTGCATTCTAATTAGGCCCAAAACGTTCATCGTAATTTCCAACCAAACCTATATTGCGCAAACTGAACGCGTCTGTGAAAGAAAGTTTAGGTGGAACTAAACAAGAGCTGAACGCGTCTGTGAGTTCTGACTCCCTCCGCTGGCTGCTGCAGTATCCCTTTATCGTGTTCTTTTAAAAGGCCGTGCCGCGCACCGCATGCATGCACGCGGAAAAGAGATCAGAGAGGATCGGACGTCCATTTAAGGGTTAAGCAGGCCGGCTTTATGCGCCTTTGCGTTGCATGCGTGGCCCTGCAGCACTGCTGTGACTCTGATGTTCAGAGCCATCGCATGCGTCGCATTATCAGGTCGCCCCGATCCCCGGAACCGCGTCGGCGGTAGCTGCTGTTGTACTTGCTGTATGCACCCACCCGGTCGGTCTCTCCTTCAGTCCTTGGGTTCTTCTTCCTCCCGCCACCGGCAGATTGAAACGGCAGGCCGCAGGTGCCCGCGCTGACGGCTCGGCGGACGGCGGGGCAATACAGATGGGCGCAAGGTGCAAGGGGTCGGCGTCGGTGGACGACGCATATACTCAACTGTATATAGCTAGCAACTAGCATAAGAACAGTGTGGAAAGGAAAAGGAAAGAAAGATACTGTACTCCTATGCGAGTGAGACTGCAGCAGGCATCATCTCCTCTCTGAACCGCACATGCCGCGGCTGACGATGATGCATGGGTGTGGTGCTGGTGGGCGCAAGCTTAACTGCATGCTCATATCGTCTGATCGATCTGAATCTGGTCTCTGCCTGCGTATGGCTTTGCACTGCCCAAGTACAGCGCGCGCTGGTCCAGCCCTGGGACTGGCGGGAAGCGCCCGGCAACCACTGCATGCAATGCAGCGGTGGTGGTTGTGGTACTGCCTGCCTGCCCGGCCCGCCGCTGCTGGCGGTGCTGGAGCTGGGCGCGGCCGGCCGCGTGCAGCGCAGTACTCCGCCAGTACCCCCGGCCTGACCCCTCTCTCTCTCTCTCTCTAGATCTGTGGAGTACACTGACTGCATGCGCCAGCCGCCAGCGGCCCCCAGCTCGCGCTACTCGACCGGCTTGGTGCAGCGATGCCTTCAGTGACCTGTAGCTTTCTTGGTGTATGGATGTCGCCATGATGGCATAGGAAGCTAGCTAGCCAGCCAGCAGATGCTGCTGCCTGTGCTGTGCATGCATGCATGCGCCAGTTCGATAGGTTAGCTTTGCATGCAGATGCAGCAGACCTCATCGTTTCGTTTGGTTTGTCCGCTGCTTGGTGGAGGCTTCTTTGTCCGCTTGTCCCCTGGAACTTGCATTGCATATCATCGTCCTCCCTGGTCAGTGCTCACCTCTCGAGTGTTTCGGGCCACTCAAAGTTTCAGAGCAATCTTGGTATGCATGCATGATTATGCGATGGCCACCTCATCATCACACAATGCTACAAATGAAGAAGCCGCTACTTTGTTTTTGTTGTTGGAAGACGTGAATGAGCAACGGCAGTTTAGTTTTTTCTTTGTGTTGGCGAACGAAATCAGTTCCGGGGTATGTTTGATATAGGATCGAGCCATCAGGCATAATACAGTGTTTTTCTTTCACAACAAATCAGCTTTAGCCGGTTTATTAGCCACAGAAACCATCAGCCGAACAGAGCGTTAGTCATCAGATCAGAAGGTTGCGCTCGTACGTGGTACTGTAATTAATTATCAAGTCGTCTGCAGAAATCTTCAAGGAACTACCGTGGATGCATATCGTATCGTGCATATACACCAGTTCACGGTGATGCATTAGCATTTAGGTCTCGTTCGGTTGGGTCAAATCCAACCAGGAACCCTTCCAGCTGATCCAAACCAGTATAAATTACTGAATTATTTCTGATAGGAATGGATCTAGGGGTTGGTTCCCTGCCAAACCAACAAGCCCTTAGTAGTAACGTCCTTCAGTTTCAGCATATGGTTAACTTCGGTAGTGCAGTGTGCAGACATGGTGACATATATAGAGAGTAAACTAAACTGAAAAAAAAAATGACGATGCGTCGTCGCAAAGAATGTGTCAGGACCCGGTGCTGCTATTTGTTGGGTGCAATGCGTTGCATCATGTTGCGAGATGCATCAGTGATCACTGATCAGACATTGGGACACCAAAGTGAGTCGTACAAGAGCCACCTAAATTGAATTCCGGAAAAGTACTGTGGTCGTACAGTCTAAAGCTGTGCATGACATCCAAGCAGATCGAAGCTGTTCATGCCTTTGAGTGCTTATTAATTCATGATGTCCGGCCAGCGTCGCCGTTTTGATTTTGATGCAGGATCTTCCTACATCATTCAAGTTTGACAAAAATAGTATCCACAATTTAAGACTCTAAATTATAAAAACACACTCTATAACAAATTTAATGGTATTTATTTAGTATGATAACACTAGTAGAGAAACGATCTTTCATCTACTTCGATTTTGGGCTTTAGTCTCGATATTTTTTGCATCCGGGGATAGAGAGAATTAGTCCCGGTTGGAGCTACCAACCGGAACTAAAGGCTCCTGTCCTGGCAGGCTTTCGCAGCATGCCACCTTTAGTCCCGGTTGGAGCCTAAAACCGGAACTAAAGGTCAACCTTTTAGTCCCGGTTGGTGTTACCAACCCGGACTCAAAAAGTCCTTCAACCTTACCAACCGGGACTAAAGGGTGACCTTTTAGTCCCGGTTGGTATCACCAATCCGGATTAAAGGTCTTTCACCCGGGACTAAAGGTATCCCATGGGTCAATTCAAAAGGAGAGTGTCCAGGACTCTGTCACATGTGGTGTACAACTGAGTTGGTAAGGAGTTTATGTGCGAGGAGAGAGGCCCTGGGTTCGAATCTCATACACCGCAAGAGATGTCTCCCTAGTATTTCGTTTATTTTTTCTCCTGGAGATGGACCTTTAGTCCCGGTTATGTACCCGGGACTAAAGATCCCAACCTTTAGTCCCGGATTGTTAGTCCCGGTTGGAAAACGGGAGTAGAGCTAGTTCCCAACCGGGACTAGATCTCATTTCTTTTATATAAAATTTAGTTAAATTTAAAATAGTTTGACTGGTCGCTATTTAAAACGGTATTTTTACCGTAACAGAGGGAGTACTTGCTTTTGTTTTGGATCTACCTGACCTGATGGTTGGTATATATATATATATATATGGATGATGTGACCGTCTTTAACCAGTGATGTCACGTGACTAGAGCTAATAAGCACAATTGATAAATCGTGCTGCTGAAACATAAAGTGAATTGTCTACCTTTTCTCTTAGTTTAAGCTTTTTGGTTAAACTGGTCCATATACAAGTCTATATGATATCTGAGTCGAAGGTCTGGAATTTGGATCCTAATCAACACAATTAAATAAAATATAATTGTTGCTTTCTTCTATTTCGCTTACGACAAGTGTTGAACCCATAAATATAAAGCAAATTGCTCTTTTCTATCCGCTTATGTTTCTGGATTGAATTGGTCACTTCATACACGACTCTATATACATCGCATGTTCTAGGTTATTTTTCTTTGTTTATATGCCTCGAGTCAGAGCAGAAAACCAAACCAAAATAATAGTACCTCCCATGTTCCTTTTATATTTTATATATACTAAATCGAACCTTTTCTATCCGTACATGGCAGAAAGAACATGTTCCTTCCCCATTTTTAAAAATCCCCGTGTTAGCTAGCGAGCTGTTACTATCGACATGGCTTTTTCCTTCACGTGCCAAGCTGCCATTTGTAAATTATATTACGCATGTATATGAGGAAGCTGAAAGTACATGGAACACCTGGCTCGTGGCAGAGCACATGCTAAAAAGAGCCATCTCTGTACAAAGCAATTCAGACGGACGTATAGTTGGGCCAGGGTGCGAAAAAGAAAGGTCATGTACATTATGTGCATCGCCCGCGCCCGCCCCCCCCTGGCCCTAAGGGACCATCGTCTACGTACGGCAGCCTTGGATCCATGCTTTGTTTAGGCCATTAGATCCACACATTTCCAATCTGCTGTGGATCGATGCAGTTCTTTAATTTCCCTCCCTGCAGTTTCTAGCTCGCTAGGGCCAATTCGTCTTCCTCCCCCACGTAAATAAATGAACATGCAAGTTTTTCATGGGTCGTCGTACCTCATGCCACTAAATGGATCGAGCTGCTACCTTAGCTGCTTGTTTCTAACACTGTAACACACTTGCAAGAAACAAGCAGTCTATCTTTTACTAATCCTTTTTTCCCTGTCGATCATGACAGAGGAAGAAGTTTTATTTTTCTGAATTTCGTCATCGATCACTTGTATATAGCAGAAAGGGCCACAAGAATGGGAAGCTGCTCTAGTTAAAACTTGAATTTCAGACGTACGGCAAAAAAGTACGTAGAAACGATTATTTAGAAAACTATGAGAATTGACATGCGCTGGAAACTGCTAATCCACAAGCAAGGGGAGATCGGAGACCTAAATAAAAATAAATAAACAAGAAAGAATTACAAATGGAGGTCCAAGCTAACACTCTCCTTCTGGTGGCCCAATTCACACCTACCTAGCTTCTTCTCCGGCGACGTGGACGAGCACGACGAGAGCGAGGGCGAGGGGGACAACAAGCTCATCACCGCCTTCTCGTCCTTGCATGCTGCCCCCTCCCCACCAGCTGGCCCGACCAGGATAGCCGTGCCACCAGCGCCGTGCCGGCCGGACATGCCGAAATTCTCCATGGTCGCAGTAGTGGTCGTCGCCGCAGGGGGCGGCACCCTCCAGAGCCCCGCCGGCACCGGGCTCCCGTTGATTGGCTGCGACATAGAGCCTGGTCCTCCGCCGCCGTAGGGCCCCGCGGGGCTGGCGCTCGTCCACATCGGGTAGTGCGCCGGCGGGGGTGGGGCAGGGGCAGCGGCGGCGGCGCGGGGTGGTCGACGAAGCGGCCGCCGCCGAGGTGGTGGTGGTGGTAGTTGAAGAGGCCATACATGTGGCCGGGCACGTAGCGGTGCATGGCGAGGGAGGCCTGGAGGTGGGCCCGCTTGGCGTGCTGCCGCTCGCGCTTGTGCGCGTTCTGGTGCCCGCCCAGCGCCTGCGACGTCGGGAAGTTACGGCAGCAGTAGTGGCACTCGAACTTCCTCTCGGCGGCCGCGGCCGCCGCAGCCGCGCCGCCGCTCTTGGCGCCGCCGTTGCTCTCGGACGTGACCGTGCTGCCGTTGGCGGCGTCGGGGGAGTCGGCCACGGCGTCCTGCTGCTTGGCCTGCTGCGCCTGCCGCGCCTGCCGCTGCTGGTCGTTGGAGAAGTCGCAGCCGAACAGCCGGATGGTGGCGTCCCTCGGCTGCGCCGGCGCCGGGGCCGGCCGGATGAACGGCAGCTGCGAGAAGGAGTCGACGCTGCGCACCTCCTGCGACTTCGCCATGGCCGGCTGCGAGCTAGCTGCTGCTGCGCCCCCCCAAGAAGCTAGAATTCTACCTGGCTAGAGCTCGTTTAATTTCGTCGTAGGTTGTGAGGCGACAAGCAAGCTTGGTATATGTTTTCGTGTATGTGGGTGTGAGCTCAAGAATTTGGCTACGAGTTGGTGAGTTTTAAGGGGCCCGGATGGGCGCCGTGACTGCGGTGAGGTCGGAGAGGGAGGAGAGCAAGAGGAGGGCCGGCCGGGGGACCATGCAAGTAAGCGCCAGCCGAGGGGACGGAGGAGACGACTAGGCTTAAAGCTCCCTCCCTCTCGCCACCAAGTACAGATGCATGCAGCTGCAGTGGCAGTTGCAGCTGCTGGCTGGCCTGCTCTCGCTCCGGCGGTGCGTGCTAGCTATATAGCTATAGCTAGAATAGTCTCCTCTCCTAGTCCTAGCTAGCATATGAGGCCACCTCATCTCGTCTCTTCTCACCACAACTCACATATTTGTTGGCAAAATTGGCACTAGCTATAGTACAGATTTGTAGTACACGCAGAGAGAATATAAATAAATGTGTTAGCATTTAGAAAAATTCGCCATGCTATATTGGAATAGCTGCAAGCTAGCTCGGTCGTGTCTTGTCTGGTGCAACGCAACGCAACGCAACGCTAGCTAGCTAGCGCTCTCCGGCATCAGTGGGCGGGCATCAAGTGGTGGGGGAGATAGCGGATGAGGGGTGTTGTGCGACGCCGACGCCGACGCCACCTATCCATCGCTCTCCGCCTCTCCTCTGAGGCCTCTGGATTGGCTCGAGGGTTTCTTTACGGGAGGTTGGCTTCTTTAGAACATGAGAGACGCGGAGGCGGAGACCACAGGTGGTCCTCCTGGGGACGGCGACGTGTTTGCCCCTGCCCGCCCTTGTGTGTCGTTGCGTACTGTCCCGCTGCTCATGCTGCATGATTACTGCATGCCAGTGCAGGGGCCGATGGATGGTGGATGCTACATGCCATGTTTTCATCTTTTAATATAGCCCCGTGTTGATGAGTCAAATTTTCAAAATTTAACTAAATATATAAAAAATGCTATATTTACGATGCCCCATAAGTATGTTTGGATTTATAGTAAAAAGTATCTTTATAATAAACTTATTTAGAGATGCAAATACAGATACATTTTTTTTATAAATTTACTAGTAAAACTTAAAGATGATTTTTTTTTTTCTAAAAACGAGATGTGTTAGGATGGAGTACTAGAGGCTATATATACTATTACTTCTGTTCACAAAATAATGCAATTCTAGGTGTATTCTTCGTTAACGTGTCTAAAGTTAGATTAAATATATAGCTAAAGCTATTAGTGTTTATGACACCAAATAAATAATAGTATGAATATATATCTCATGAGAAATCTAATGATACTTATTTAATATTATAAATATTGATATTTTTATTTATAATTAGTCAAATTCAAAATACCTAAACCTGTTATTGTCATAGAATTGTATTCTTCCGTGGACGAAAGGAGTACTGCCATGTTCAGTTTCGGCTAAAATATAATTCAGACAGACTTTTAAGACTTTTGTCCAGTGATGGGTTTCGAGCTATTTAGGTTGTGAGCATACACTCCTAGTTTATATATATTTACTGAACGTTATAGCCATATCTTAATACTAATATAAATAAATACTTACTCAAAGTTACCTCGAAGACCACAAAAGTCATATATAATTCGTTTACTTGGTATATAGTATAATATAAACAAATTTATTAACTTTACCCCTTCTTTTTTTTACAACACGAGCAGGCTATAATAACAACTATATTATAGGTGCTCCTTAGTACAGTACCAGCTGCAGTGAGTATGTACGTGCTCGATCGATGGCGCTTTGGACTGGGATCCACATGTTTGATGGCTGGATCAAAAGCAGCAGCTACTAGAGTGTACGTACGTACAGTATACTTTATGCGATCATGACTTAATAGCTTTTCTCTCCTCACTTTTTTGCAGGGCCTTTTCATCCCTAGACATCTCTTTTACCGAATTTCATGCACGCTGCGTGTGATTTCTCGCCCAATAATGAGCTGGTAAAGAGCGTTCACTGGACGCTGGCCGGCCGGCTCTGCTGCCATAACATTACACTGTTGGAGCATGTGAACAGTGCGACTGTGTCACGTACGTAGTACGTACCTCTCCTGGGTGAGAAAAACGCAACCTATTCTAGTACCTGCTCACCCTTGCTAGCTGGTGATCGGTCCGGTAATTCGTACGTACTGTAGACATCAGTGAAAGTGGTAATACAGACGGAAATAAAACTGGTACAAAACAGAGCTTTACTCACGGTGGGGAACCCCCTCTAGTCCCGGTTCCCCACCCGGGAGTAAGCATCCGGGACTAAAGGGGGTCTCTTAGTCCGGTCAAAAATCGGGGCCCAAGGGGGGACTTTAGTAACATCAACCGGGATTAAAAGGTCCTCCCGAGTAAGCATCCGGGATAAAGGGGTCCTTTAGTCCCGGTGAACGAAGGACTAAAGGGGACCTTTAGTCCGGTGGTAACATCATCCGGGACTAAAGGGTCCTCCCAAACTTTAAAAAAATAATGCCTCCCACCGCTGCGTCCGTGAGATTGAACCCAAGACCCCATGCACGTTCTCGCAGCGTAAACTTACCACCCCACCTACATAATACATCTAACAATGGATGTGATGCTTTCCTTTGAACTAACCCATCAGAGGATACCAACCGGGACTAAAGGGTCCTTTAGTCGGGTTGGTGTTACTAACCAAGGACTAAAGGGTTACATTTTTAGTCCCGGTTTGTGTTCTCAACCGGGACTAAAGGTTGAGGATTTTTTAGTCCCGGTTGGTGGCTCCAACCGGAGTAAAGGCCCACCTTTTGTCCCGTTTGGTCTCTAACCGGACTAAAAGGTACTCGCCATCATCGCGGCCTTGATAGCCGTTAAGCGAGGAGGATTTTAGTCCCGGTTGGAGACACCAACCGGGACTAAAGGTCTCTCTAGTCCCGGCAAAAAAAAATACCAGGACTAGAGCCCATTTTAGCATCGGATGAAAGGCCTGTGGCAGTTCCGATCCTACTGTACCCGACGCATCCAGTTCTTCCTCGTCTTCAACTTGCCACGGGCTTTAATATCTCGATGGGACGACAGGCAATTTCAAGTCCAATGGCGCGTAAAGCCGTGATCCAACTGCAGTGTCTACACACATTTGAGACTGCGGTAGTGTACGCGGGTCCGGCCGTCTGGATAAGTACATGGCCAACGACATCAACCAGTACATGCATGTGTGTCGCCGCAAGTACGTCATTATGGCAAACAGTGAAATAAACCTACTACATCTCTTAATTACGTTGCTGGTACAGGTAGATGGATGGATCATGGATCGATCGCCGTCGATCCATTCGCAATCGTCTCACATGGGTGCGTGTTAGTGTGCTGTTTAACTTTTTAACCCTGCCCCTGATCGACACGAGTTCGTTGCGCGGTTAAAAAAGCTCCATGCACGGACGAGATGCCTGTCAGCAAAAGTAGTAGCAGGAGATGGAAAAGGCGTGGCTGACGACGAAGAGAACACAAACGCGATGCGACAGACGAAAGCGGCAACACCTTCTCATCTTCGTTCTTCAAGTGGCATGGGTGGATGCGTGTATGCGTCTGACTGTGAATGGCCGCGTGCGGCCGGGCGGTGCTACGGCTGTACGTACTGATCTCCAACGCCAGACAGCTGTGTGTACAGCGCGGGCGTCGATGATGACGACGCCGACGGCGACGGCGACCGGCTCCCTCCCTGCAGGCGGGTGCGCGCCGCTGTCGCGGCGACGTCGCGGCCGCGCTGCTGCCACTCGATCGATGGATCCATCGATCTCCTCCCCCCTTGCCGGCCACAGGCCAGAGATCTTGCAGGCGACGCCAAATATTCTCGACCGGGACGGAGGCACAGGCTCCATATGCTTCTCTTCTCTTACTACTCATTGCCTTGCTGCCGATCGAGTTCACTTAGCCCTCGGATGAGAATGAGACCGAGTGGTTAAAGTTAAAACAGTCACTTGCCAGGCAGGCAGGGTGCAGGGCGCAAGGCGCGCCGCGACCACACGATCGTTAGCGGCACTACTGAACAGCGACAGTGTGATAGAGAGTAGCTGGAGGGAGCCGGTAGATATGCTTGTCAGCCAGGCTGGGCAGGAAAGGATTGACAGAGAAGTACGGTTGCTACTTGCTGCTATGACGATCCATCCATCCATCGACCATGTCGTCCCGGGTGCAATTATTCATTCAATCCGGTGCCGCTCACCGTGGGCAACTGATAGACTGATCTGAAAACCTACCACCCGTCCCTTTTGTTCTTGTGTGTGTGTGTGGGTTAGGTTACTTCTGTGCAAGAGTTGCAGTGGCAGCATCGGCTCCGTAATGGTCATAATTCCCGGAGAAAGACATGGCATGCATGTTATTTTCAGTAGCAGTGCAATAACCGACGCGATGACTGCTTCTCTGCCCATGCCGCGGTTGCCCAGACAAGGAGCCTTGCTATATGCAGCCATGGCCAAGGGAAGGAGCCTGCAATTGCAACCGATCGAGCGAGGTAGATTCCTGATTCCTCCTTTCGCAATCACCAATCAGCATGATGTATTCCCGCTGGTTATTTGACGACCTGCTGTAGCATATATAGTAATGTTCAGGGGCTTGTGAGAATTTCTTGTTAGTTGCATGGTCATGCATGTGTGTACATGTTTTGCTTGCTTTTATGCTATGCTAGCTTTCTAAGCACTTGTCACCATCACATCATATGCCAAAGTCCTCTCCCAATTAAAGTGAAGCTAGAGACAGTACTCCAAAACAGCCATCGAATTCCAGCTCTATTGATGGAGCTCCCTGCCCCCTTTAGCTTTTAGATGAGACTTTGGCTGCTGCTGCTCTGCTCGGGACCAAAACATGGAGCCGCCCGCCCGGCCCAATTGATCCTTGGACTCAGCGATCAGAACTTGTCCCCGTCCTCCTTTCTTGTGTGCCCCAA